ATATTCACTAATAAAACACACTATTAGATTTCAAATTCTTCAAAATTAATAGCTTAATCAAATTCTTGAATAAATTCTTTTTTTACGTGATTTTTCTGATAGTAAGAGGTGGGGTGGCGGTAGAAAACCACATCTGCAATCTTAACAGATTAACTGTCCGCAAAATAGACACAATGGTTAAACAATCGAAATGTTCACATATGACTCATGGGACAGTGAAACGGTTAAAATTAAATCAGCAATATCGGTCATTATCATTATCGGTACAATGATGGTAGTCCACGTTATTAAGTGTTGGTTGTATTTCAATTTTTTCATTTCTTATCAAACTACTATTATAGTATAGCGTGAATTGTACAATTATAAGGACATGCAATACTTATCGCTTTAATGCTTATTCGTTCAAACTACCGATACTTGTTGTATTTTACAGTAGAGAGTTTTTTCCCTCTATTTTAAAAATAAAGCTTTATTTCTAAGATACGAGTATATTTCTAAGATATACATATGTAGATAAAATACATTTTTGTACAATTACAAGTAAATATGTATTTTATGGATGGACCAATGGAATTGACATTTAAAAATTGAGAATTCTGTAATAAAAACTCCTTCCTTAAATTGGTCGTTTGGACAAATAATCTATTGCGGTAAAAAGTAGAATATATCATTTTCCAGCTCTCTAACTATCTCCATGCAAAGAATTACGCCAATCAGTGTCTCAAATCTGTTTAAACGTGAAAGCCGGACAAACAAACATACACACTTTTAGATAACGCATTTATAATATTGTATAATGATATGTTATTGTTAATATAGGTTTCTTTATAATATAGATAGCCTGGAAAATATCACTTTAAGTGTGAAGGCCGCTTACACTAAAATATATATTTGTAAATTTTTGTATTCATTATAAATTGTATTTCTTTTGGTGTGATAAAGGATTAAATAAATAAATTGATGGTATTTATATTATATGTATATATTTAGCCCTTTTTAACGCCCCACTGCTGGGCACGGGCCTCCCTTCAATACGAGGGGCATCAGGCCATAGCACGCTGGCCAAGCGCGGGTTGGCGGGCTTCAGAAGTCTTTCGAAAACTTGCTAGGTTCTCTCAGATATGCAGATTTCCTCACGATGTTTTCCTTCACCGTATATGGTATCGTATTTATATTAAACCATTATATGTGCCGTTAAGATATGCTCTATGATTTATAACCGAAGTTTCCGATAACCATTGATTTTGTTTTATTATTTTTCCTAGATTTAATACTGGTTGCCAGTGTACACAAGAAAACTTATGTAAAGAACCTAAGCTATTTTTGTTTTCTGAATTAATGTACATAGTTTCGTTAGATATAGAGGTATATGGCTAAGCAGAAAATTGTAGAGCTATTGACTTTTAAAGTTTGAAAAATCATATAATAAGCGGGGTACAACCAAACCCGTGTTGCATGATATAAATAATGCACAAATGAATTGGCACAATTACGTATATTCAGGAAACCACTATTGTATCGACCTGACCTAGCTTCGTAGCTTTTGCAAGTGACTAATATCGTATGGAAACTGCATCGTGTACTGGAATAAAAAATATGATACGTTATGGTAGGCCTCCAGCCTATTGACTATAGATATAACTTGTTACTCTGTCTCTACATGAAAAAGGATACATAAAACAAATGCAATATTACATTTATATTATTACTATCATTGCCCGCGGCTCCGCCCACGTTCAGGTGACCATTAAAGGTTTTCTATTTTTTATCAGAAATGAGACATTTTCCCGCGGTAAAAAGTATCCTATTTTTTGACCCGGATAACCAGCTATAACCATACCAAATTTCATGAAAATCCCTCCACTGGTTTTTTGTGATGCGGTAACAGACAGACAAAGATTCTAAAAACTCTAGACTCGGTCTCTGTTTCGATAATAATGTTTATTTCAATAAGATTTTCCAAAAAATATTTAATGTACAGATTCGACTTAGTTATAATTTTATTATATGTATAGATTATAATTCATCTTCATTCATTTTTAAGAAATAATAAACGAAATTAGCATGTAGTGTTTACCTTTAAATGGTTTTACATATCCTGTACATGTAATGTAAATTGTACATAGTTTAAGAAATATTAATTATGTAAAATCGCTGTTAGATCCAATAAATAAATAAATATTTTTTTATAATACAAACAAAAACGCTCTTATAATTTTCGCAATATGGTTCAATCATTTATTTTTCACACTACAAGAACAAGCAAAGCTTCTTACAGTATTATTTTATAAGCTCTCAGTTAAGTCCATTGAGAATAAATTATATCAATTAATAAAGCGTATTAAGTACGTACCTCTTAATTAGTTTATTTCGAGCTTTACTTAATTGCTTTTATAACGAAATAATTGAAGTATAGAGGAGATTATATTTTATTCTTATCTGAGCTTTTTCATATTTATATCATATTTTAATGTCTGTTTATAATTTTAGTGTGGGGTATGTGTATTTCTTGTAAAATTGAATTAATATTTATATTTTGAGAGTAAAAGGAAGTAAAACCTCCCCTCATTACTCTGGAACAAACTCCCTAAATACATCCAAAAAGCCCTTCTATAATTTCTTTTAAAAAAAAAAACAGTACCTTCTGTCACAAATGGGTCCTTCATTTTATTATTAGATCCACTCTTTTTAGGTATTCCAAATGCATACGATTATATTTATACTTTAATATGTATGTATATAGTATGTATAATATGTAAGTTATTGTATATTTTTCATTTTATGTGTCTTTTTTATCTTATTTAATTGTATAATTATTTATAATCTAATATATTTAAACGAGCAATTCTTGTATATATATATATATATATATATATATATATATATATATATATATATCCAAGTTTCTGTAGGTACTGGAAATTAGACATTCTAACACCAAATCAACGTTGTCTGTTCGTCTGGTTCACCTTTTTAAACATATTTTGGAACATACTAGATAAGCGGTAATTTTTTTATATAGTAATATGTATAAGATAATATGTACTTCATACTCCTAAACATAATAAAAAAGCAAAAAGTAAAAAAAATAGCGAAATCTTAATAATTAAATTTGATTTAGAATTCTTTTTGCTAGAGATTCATCATGTATCGATGCAAGTGTTAAATTTGGTGATAATATAAACTTAAAAAAGTAAGAATAATTAATTATAGTGAGGTAGTGCTAGGCTAGCTAACTTCCCCCCCAACTTGCGTTCACCTTGTCGTCGTGGGGGGGCTCAGTAGTGTCTGGCAATACAGCCGGGCGCGAAGCCAAGAAACGCACAGGGAGGTGGCCCACTTCGGTGGGCGGTGGGAGGTGGCCCTCTTCGGAGGGCGGTGTACCATGCGGGTTGCTCCTGGTACTTCTCTGATAGCAGAGTGGACTTTGGAGCAACCCCATGGTCGTTGTGGTCTGCCTCGGCAGACCTGCCGTCGGGGCGTCGTAGTTGAATGCGTAAGCGATCCTGCGACGCCCCATTAAGACGGGGGAAGGTTTTGTTGGGTTTTAGTGGGTAGTACTGGCTTTGCCGGTGAGTCCCACACCTCGTGCGTAAATGCATTTCCTAACGTTAAAAAAAGGCTAGTTAACTTAGTGGTAAGCCGCTTGCTTTGAAAGCCAAGCGAGTGCAAATCCCGAAAGTGCACTTTGGATGTTTTTATGTGGAAATCATTTTCAACATAATAACCGTTTGCCTTACATCAAAAGAAAACTGTGAGCAAAGCTACCTGACAGAACTTGACTTGTGTTCGAGGGACATGTGAAATATGTCAATACGTACTTGACCAGACTGGTGATGGCATTCTAGGGAAATCCATGCCTAGTCGGATGTTAAAAAGGGCAGAATACAATAAAAAGCTCACAAAGTCTTTCAAATAAATATTATTTAATACTAGCGACTCACCCTCGCTTCGCTCGGTTCCATCCCTAGGTACGTTTTAATTTTTTTGAGTGGACCCCTAATTATTTGCCTAATAAAAGTAGCCTATATTTTTTGTTACTTCTTATAACATTAGCTATCTACCAGTGAAAGTCCCGTCAAAATCAGTCCGGCCATTTCCGATATTAGCCGGAACAAACAGATAGACAGACAAAAATTTTAAAAATCGTGTTTTTCTTATAAGGACCGTATATAATTTCATATGCATTTAATAAAAGCTGTTATTTTGACATTACAAACCATCAGAGACGTATAATGGAAACGTACATGCGGAATGATTCGTATCTATTCATTTGTTAAATTGAATGTCTCGAACATTCATCGTCTCGACAAAATTCATGAAGATATTGCTCTAAATACTGAAATGGTTTTTTTTGAATACAATAACCACTTACATCTAATCTTTATTTGTAATTAGAAGTTAAGGTTAAAAAGTAAAGCTTTGAAATTTATATTAATCCTAGGCAAATGTTGTTCGATCGGCACTACTGGATAACAGAGGGTTAGATAAGAATTCATCCTACAGAGAATAAAAATCTAAATAAATATATGGGAACGACGTTGTACGTTATGATTTTAGAATAAAAACAATTAATATTTCGATTCTGCAACGATTTTAGAAGCTCTAACCTAAATTAAACTAATCTAGGTAAAATTATTGAATGAAGTTTATTTTATTTGCAATCCTTATACAAAACACAATGCAGGCTACATATAAATTGATATATATATATATATATATATATATATATATATATACATATATAAAACGTATATAAAAATCGATGTGTGTATGTATGTTCCCTGTGGATTTCAAAACGGTTGGAGCGATTTTGATGAAATTTTCAGGCAGTTTTTAGATTATCCCAGCGGGTAATCCTGTGAATTTGGTAGCGATCAGAAGTTTGAACGCGGTTAAAGCCGCGGTTACTGCTAGTTTAAATATAGATTTTTAGATGCTTATATATATATATATATTTTATACTGTTGCACATATGAAAGGAAAGCTCTTGCCCATTGATGAACGTGTGGTATCCCCCGGACCTACCCCACGAATGCGCGTCAATCGATGAAACACACGCAGTGGCGCGCAGGCGTTCTGCTACGATGCGGTACTGGTGAGAAGAGAGGTGCTATGAAAATATAGTTTTGAAATTTTTTGGCAATGGTCACCATTTTTATGGAAATTTGAAAATATAAATATAATAAATTATTCTTTTATTGATATAAGAACATAAAAAAGTTCTAATTAAAGATCTTAAGCAATTGCAAAGATATTGTAACACATATATTTATATACTATATATATATACTATATATATATATATATATGTATATATATACATATATATATATATATAAACACAAAAATAAAATAACACACTACACACGTATTGTCTGTGCCTTTTTTGAACTTTTTATTTGTTTTGTTGTAATTAGTTTAAACATACTCTATACGGTACTCTATTGCATCCTGTTAATGATTTTGTAAAAATGTGAATAACATTCATAGTTCATTTTAATGTCAGAAACGGGCTTTACGAGCCCATTTAATTGAGGTTGCTTGATTTGTTTGCTATTTATTTTATTACTTAACGATAAAGACGTGAAACCATCAAATTGTAAAGGCTAAACGTAAATTAGTATTTACATAAAATGTATATAATTCAATATTTTTTATTTTATCTACAGAAAGTATGGGAACATAACTAGTATCATTCCCCATAAAATTAATGTAGGTTACATTGTTACATCACAACCCAAATTCTATCCCATGACGCAGGTCCAAAAGCGTTACGTAGAGCATTTGTGCGCGATGTTACTGCGGCCGAGTCAGTCGATCTTGCGGCAAGCTTCAGCGCTAGTGAAAAGCCTGCTTGTAGAGAACCCTATACCTTTTTAATTCCTACTTCTCTACTTTAGTGTTAAATATACGTGTTGTGATCAAACGGCGAAATGTAAGTTGGTCGTCTTTGATGTTTTAATTAACTCGCTGTTATTTTTGCTTATATGTTAGGAATGAATTGCGTTTCGATGTTTTTTCTTTTATATATTTCGTTTTTAATAGATTATTATGTTCTTTAATTTATTTTAATAAATATAAGTGTGCTTAGTTTATAAATATGAGTTATCTATTATCGTAAATTAGAATTAAGTTATGTAGTTTTTGATATTCTATTAGACATTCATAAGCCGGCTAAAAGCTTATTTGTTGTTGTAAGCCCTCATTTATTAGAAGCTTTATGAATGTAACTTCTTACGAATGTACATATATTGTATATTTAGTATGTTGAAAATAAAGAAAAATAATTTAAGATAAAGATAAATTATTTTCAGAATCAGCCAAAATACATTTAAAATGCATAAATCGACTGAAACAGATATAGTATTTTTGTAGAAGAAATCCATAAAGCAAATTTAGTATATTGTACGAAAACTTAATGGCTTTACCTTTATTGTATTGTTGTGGCACACTGCCAACATTATTTTTACAATCAATCGATACGGTGTAACTTTTTATAAGTTTCTAACTGATCCTTATACTAAACCTAAAATTGAACCTATGAAGTAGAACAAAGAAATAATATATTACAGAAAATTTTAATTTGTACAAATCCTATTTCTTTCAGCATAAATTATATGTATATATACTTTATGCTGAAAGAAATAGGAAAATACTTTTTAAATAAAAATCATGATATTCCTAATCGGTTAAATAAAAAAAACTCTAAATATTTTTGTTTGTAGAGCACTTATTACTTTTTTTCATTATTTTTATCATTATAATTACTAGCCCGTTTTTATCCAATAGGCTTCTCACAGGTTCCCGCTATGTAATGCTCTACAGATTGAATATAAACGTTAAATTGCTATATATAGGGCAGCGGAAGGTGGCACTCCTGGTGGTTTAGCGCCTGCAGAACCTCAAACTGGACCTGATGGAGAGATCATTGGAGGACCTCGCACTCCGCAGCAAATCGCTGCCCAACGAAGGCTTCAGCAAACTCAGGCTCAAGTCGATGAGGTGAGATTTTACTTTAAGTAATATTAACACATCGGTAAATTTCTAAGAAATTAATTAAAATTCTAAGAAATCTATTGTTAACTGACACGTCGGCGCGTCCGGTCGTGGAGGGATTATATCAAATAATTCTTATTGAAAACAACCTTGTAAAAATATTTTAAGACATTAGATCACTGACTCTACATCAGATCAGTTCCATGTTATTGTATTAGGACAACGAAGCTATATATTGGCTCAATTTAAAAATGAATTACACGCGTAGAGTCGTCTAGATAGGCTGTAATCGAACAATAAAAGTTGTATGAAAGCTTTTGAAAATAATTTTCTATTAATATCATACCTACATATAGGTAAATGAAAAAATATTACATTGTTAAATATAATATAATGTAAATATTTCAAAATGCAATTTCAGGTGGTGGATATTATGAAAACGAATGTGGAGAAGGTGCTGGACAGAGATGCAAAATTGTCAGAGTTAGACGATAGAGCAGGTAAGATAATATATTATTGATTATGATCATGATCATACATGTGCTTTAAATTATATTATAGACGTAATAATTTTGCTGTAATTCCTCAGATGCCCTCCAACAAGGAGCCTCGCAATTTGAACAACAAGCAAAGAGTTTGAAAAACAAATTTTGGCTACAAAATTTGAAGGTAAGTAGCTATGTTGATTTATTTTATCTGCAGAATTTAGTAATTAAAAACGTATCAGTAATAAGAAATTGTACGCTCTTAATGATAAAAATGATTTTTACAGATGATGATAATAATGGGCGTGATTGGTATCGTCATCATAGGGCTTTTGTTTGGTAAGTATTAACAATATTTTAAAGTAAATGGAGTTCGATGTTGTCCCGTGATTAGATGTTAGATGGTATGCCATAATAGATGAAATTTGCCATACAGTTCTAAAATTAATACCTTTCAAAATTTGTATTATTACATATTAAGCAAAATTCATCTTTTGTAATTAGTCTAAACATGTAACTGTTGATATAAAGAAAATATTGTTTAACAAATTACTTATTTGTTTAGGTGTTTAATAACATCGTTGCTATAAGGATAAATAGATGGATTTCTGTGTTGTGAAGTTGTTTTATCATAGTTAATATAGTACTGCAATGTTAGGACGCTTCAATTTGCTTACAGAAGCTCTTAGGAATTCTAACTTTCCTTCTTCTTTCTATAAACATATAGTGTCTTGAGCACTTACTCTAAACTTCATTATACCCTTCTTGTTCCACCCAAATTATACTTTTTGAACATAAAATTGATACTTAGCTCGCAATATAATTAATCATGGCAAGTGTCAATTTTATTCTCAATGTTTTTGTGACCCTTCCTTGGACATATCGATAGTGTAGAGGCTAGATGCTTCTGGCGTTTGTTCTGCTTACTGCTGTTTGCAGGTGATAACATTAAACAAATGTTTGGTTAGTTCGATACCGTGGCACTCCGACTATGACCGGCATCCCTACAGTCGTAGCCGCAAACGCTACCGCAGCAGTTACTCATAATTGTAAGTCAGATAGAGTCTTCTTTCCCGTCTGTTACTTCGCTTGGCATGCTAGAGCTTATGAATTTGCTTTTAATTTAGTTTATTCGATTAATTATATTAATTCTATAATATTTTAAGGTAGTCCATTACCATGTTTCATTACCTTTTTAAACATTTGATTATGGTATCTATTCATCAGCAATGTACCGGGGGTCGGATACATTTTTGTCTAATGAAAAGTTTAGTATATTATCTATTTACACTAAATTATCTTTAGTTTTTTTAGTTATCTGACGTTTAGCCTTGGTTAAATTGAATATTAGAATAATAATTTTTTTTTAATTTTCACGAATATAAAATAAAATATGTATAAATAGGAGTAATACTGTTTTTCATTTCTTATAATATATTTACATCTGTTTTATTGTTTAGTACGGAAATTTTTATGAAGCTTTTGTTGATATATATGAAATCTAGTACATAGAGAAAAAAGCTTTGGTTGTAGAAATTTTAGTATTGTATATATTAGCAAATTGTGTATTTATTGTAAGGATAATATAAAGGCTCATAAAAAGCTGACAATGAGAAGCTTTCAGGATATTTAAAGGACTTATTATTTTAAAATGAAACTTTAAGTTATTGAATAAAATTCTATGTCTAATCTACATGACGTGGTATTTACATCAATATCGAAAATTCGAAGGCATTATTTAGTCTAGTACTTTTATTTACTCTACTGACATTTTATATCTGTATTACATTTTCATGCTACCCAAAAATACACCCATATTAAATGTTCATAAAATTTTCAAAACAAATTATTTGTAATTATTTTTACTTAGATGCTAGATATGCAGATTTGTGATTTCTTTGTACTTAGTTACACTTTCTTACACTTCTCACTTTTACACTTGTATGTACTCAAATTCGAATATATTTCGTTACTACATTTATATATTTGTTTGTGTCACATTCTCAGACTAAAGAATTATGAAGGCGGAGTCCGCCAAAATGAATGTAAGTCAAAGTCAAAAAAAGTTGCATGATTTGCTGTTTATGCCACTATTCTCAATTTTGCCATATCTTTAATAATTTTATAGAATAAGAGATTTTATATAGGCATATGAATTATTAAAATTTTTAAATATAAATAAAAATTTTGAGACTAAAATATGAATAATAAAAATAATAAAATATTCATTTGTATTTTTAAGCATTACTTCTTTTACTCTTTAAAGAGAGATAGTACGAGTATAATAAAGATTGACATTGTGTATACTATTTTAAAATCTTATTGTTTGGCTTCACGTTTAGTTCTATAAAACTGTGTCTACATCATTCTTTGTCTGAGCTTTCATTATATTGTACACAATACAGTATTTATCAATAATTTATTAATAAATAATTCACTATTTATTGGTAAATAAATTTTTTTAATATTAACGAAATATATATCTACATGTTCATTACTGTTTTTTTGTCGTATCTTAATATAACTACTGTCAAAAAAAATCATTATATGTACATAATATAATAAAATTTGTTTTTCAGGAAAATACATGTAACCATAATTCGCAAGATACATCAACCGAGAAATAATAATTATATTAAATAATTACAATAAATAAAGTTAAATTTTTAAGTATGGAAAGGAAATGGTAGTTTAGACTAGAAAAGATCATAAGATTACAAAATATGAAAATGGCAATCACGTAAAAGTGTTCTAACTTATGTTTTTTTGTTCTAATAAAGTAATAGTCGTTCTAATTGATACGTATTTATACGGATGTTACGGTTACAAATGGAATTATAACAAGGTAACTATTTAATTAAAAAAGTAAGTATATATATAAGTTATGACATATGAATAAAAGAGAAAAACTTATTCGTGATACTTTTAATAATTTCCAAAAATTCGGTTTATAGGTTTTTATATATTAATTTAAAATATAATGTTCCAATAGCTATAACATCAGAAGTGATAAGTTATAACTGATTGCTCTTAAATACATGTTAATTAGAACAATGCCAAAAATAATGTAATAAGCACAAAAAAGTTTTATTGTTAAAACTGGTAGTATACACTATAATAATAAAATACTAAATTAAAATATTAAATGTAAAAACAAAATTTATTTACAGTATGTATGATTTTGACGATATATTATTGCATAAATTAAAAAAAAAAGTAAATTAAGTGTCAAATTACTATTTAATGTCAAGGTTTTTCTCTATTTGAGTTATGATCAATGTATTTTATCATAAATGCTGCATATAAACTTTTTTTGCGTGCCTTGCCTTGTGTAATTTAGAGTTCAGGAATATTATAAACGAAATAAGTATGATTACGAAAGGAGTTTCACTATCGGCCTATAAAATTAGAGATTTTTAATTCACTTGTAAAATATTTTTGCTTAATATTTCTTTAGATACGTGCCGTAAAGTATTATTAGTGATCAAATCACGGTAATAAAAAAAATATGTTATATATATTTTGTGCTTGTAGTTGTAGATGAATGGAATTGAATAGGTGTTAGAACGAAAATATTCGATTAGAAATGTGATTACAGAACGATTATAAATGTTTATCGTACAATTAAAATAATTATTAGTATTATTTTAACTAATTTGTTATTAATTTTAATTGATTAGTAGTTAGCAGATATAGTTGTAGTATAAATTATTTTTAAGTATATTATAATTTTCTTTACTAAGAAATTGGTCATACTACTGATTAAATGGTACATGTATGAGAGCTATGTAGTCTGTGCTTAAAAGTTAGATGAGGTCAATTATAAATTAATTATTTTATAGAATCTCCACAATAAATACATATTAGATGCAACAGTCAAATGTTATAAAATAAACACTTTCTAAGAACTCTAATGCATTCTAATGTGTACATATTTATAGCTGAACGGTTTCGCGGAATGGAATTCAGGTAAAAGAAAAAAATATTGTTTTACTATTCAATACTTTCGTTTTTCAATTAAAAAAAAACCAATGAAATTTAATTGATAAATGAGGCTTACAAAGTCGATAGTAAAATTTATCTGCACAAATTCTTATCTTATTAATTATACATATATGATACTAGCGAGTGACTCCCGCTTCGCTCGGGTGCGTCCCTAGGTCCCTACGTTTTAATTTTTTGAGCAAAACTCTAATTCTTTTTCTAAAATAAAAGTAGCCTAAGTTACTCCTTTTAACATCAGCTATATGTCAGTAAAAGTTCTGTCAAATTCAGTGCAGCCGTTTCGAAGATTAGCCGGAACAAAAAGATAGACAGACAATTTTTGTTTAAATTGTATTTGTTTTATGAGTGCCGTATGTAATTTCATATGAATTTAGTAATAAGCTGTTATTTTGACATTACAAACAAACACTCCAATTTCAATTATTTGTATACATAATACTACTATTTAAACATAAATAATAAATTCCTTCAATTTCCAATAACTGTGGAGGTTCTATTGTTTTTTATATATTATATAATATGTAGTTTTCTAAGATTTGGGTCAATTGAAAAAATCATTTAAGTTTTATGTGCTCTGCTTTATAAAATGTACCTAATACTAAAGTAGAGTACTTATGAGAGCCAATGGACTTACCCAGGATAATACTAAAGACCGTGCAAAGTGGAGGGGGCTAAGTAGGAAGGCAGATCCTGGCAATAGCCGGAATTAATAATGTCAGGCAAAAGAAGACTAAAGTATAGTATTTAATTGTTTGAAAACAAATATAGTATAATAATAAATATTATGTAAGAACCTAATAGTCTGCTATATATTATTATGTATGCACGTAAAGCACCCAAAACGGTAAGAAACTTTCGAGTGCGTGTTCAAAATTATTTTTTCTATATAGTTCTTTGAATTTATTAATAATTATAGTTTCTGTGTTATATTTTAATTTATTTTTAAAGGTTTTTTACTTAAATAACTAATAAAGTTAAAACAAATTCTTTATACATATAACGTGTGAGTTCGGAAAATACGGGTACGAGTATGCTAAGAAAAGCAGGAACTTATTGTAGCATTTTAATATATATGTACATATGTACACCATAGGACATTTTAAAATTTCAGCTGTATTGGTAGTCAAAGAACAAAAGGGTAGTAGATATGTACTTATAGTACAATTTATTTGAAAATTCGAATTATTTAGCGTGCTTCGACTTGCATTCACATACAATCTGTATGTAAAATTATAAAAAAAAATGATCATAAATTAAGTAAAATGTATCTATCTACATTTACAGGAAATGTAATGGTGCCATTGACAATATTAGTTCTCTTATGGTAATGAAATGTAGCGATGAATTTCTAACTATTATATTAATTTACTTATTAGTACTATTCCTATCGCTTAAGACTTTAACTTATTCTTAATGAAAGAACAATAATTAATTATAGACTTAATTTGAATATCGGCCATACTTAAGTGATTTTTTACTCATGTTTTAATATTTCCTTTGTCGTGGTGAAAATTTTAAAATATTACATTATAACTTGCTAAAAATTGTCTCATATATTAAAATTATTATAACAAAATAAATAATATAATAAAACGAGTATGTTTATACAAACTTCAAGGCGTAAAGAGTTTATATATAAACCTTAAGTGAAAAATAATGTAAATGTAATTATTTAATTCATAAAACTATATAATTAATAGATAGATTATTATATATAAACATACTTTACAAAGAAATCAATTTTTTCTCATAACATTGAGCCTACCAGTTCCTTTTAAGTCTTTTGCCATTTACTATTTTATAGGAATAAAAATTTAGATATCTCTGAACGATTAACAACATTTGTAAATTAAAAAAAAAACAACGTGCCCATGGAGGAGTAGAATGTTTAGAATAGGTTCTTTTAATTGCACTTCATCGTTTGTGACAAAGTATTGAAAAACTATAGTTACGATCATTTAAAATACATACATTCTATTGTAAAGGATGAAACTAAAAATGTTATAAAAATACACTGTGTATATCAAACACCTTTGTTTTATTTATTAACTTCTTCCTTATCGGCTAGTATATCAACACCCCTAGATTAAACTGCTACACTTACAGTGCAAGAAAATTAATAGAGTATTCTTATATTGCAAAGCTACTTTTTAATAA